TTTGATCAGTCTTTTTTTCACCTTCACAGCATCACAAAAATCCTGCCTCAAAATAATGCAGACTAATTAGTCTGTGCCTTTGTTACCTCTTGGTTGAACTATGGCAATTTCCTTTTTTTCAGGCTGCCCCAAGCAGCATCCTCCAGTTAAGAAATATGAAGCTCATGTGAAATGCTGCAGTTTGTCGAGGGTCTGCTTGACATTGGCTGCAGATGCACCAAAAGTCACATACACATGCGATTAAAAAAAGTCAGTTTTTGGAGCAGAAATTAAAATGTTTACAGGCTGGTACAATGAAAAATCATAAAAGACACTTACATCCCTCAGTGGGTGCTGGAGCCAAAAACATAAATAGATAAGCAAAAGATCTGCACACCAAGAAGCTACTGTTTGAAGGATTTATTGATAAGTGACGTTTCAAGCCAACATGCTCTTCCTCAGACTTGAAAGTGTATTTTGTGAGTCGCCATCTTAGATCAGTGGTTCTCAAACTATGGTAGTGGTACGCAAGGGAATCTCCACAATATAAAAAAAAAACGTTCAGCATAAAACGACAATTTTGTTGTTGTTGTTGTTGTTGTTGTGGGCTGCTCTTATCTTATCTGTCTTATATCTATTAGGTTTGTATTTATATCAGATGTGTTTTCCCTCTAAATTCATTTAGTTTTTTGCAATAACTTTAATCTAGTCAATTCCTGCTTGCACGCGCACAGACATAAACACCAGGAGTACGCCTCACGTTTTGAAAAGTTCCACTCGATATTCCGTTATAGTTCAGTACTGACTCAACAGTTGTAGGCCTACATTAACAGATATTCTGTTATTTATTGGAGTTCAGCACAGAATCGGCTGCAATCAGCTGTTACATTTACATTTTTAAAACAGAGCCAGGAGAAGCTTCCGTTTTGATGCATTCTCGCTCTCTCTCTCTCTCTCTCTCTCTCTCTCTCTCTCTCTCTCTCTCTCTCTCTCTCAGCAACTTTATGAATAAATGAAAAATTAAATAAGAACAGGTCGGAAATATACATGGGCCCAGGTATCGTCTTTGTGTGGGAAACACTGGAGACTAAATATTTTCAAACAGGTTGTTGGTATAAAGTTGTCATTTTTATTGTTCAGCACTTTTGTTTTTTATTTGGGCAAATGTCAGAGTTTAAGTGCCAGTTCCAGTGCTTAAATGTGTCTGTGGAAGGGGGGAGTGATGTCAGGGGAGCCGTGAGGAGGTGTCAGTGCTCTCTGTGAGCAAACTGTGGCGAAGTGTTTTCCCAGTGAATCCCAGAGTACATCCAAACACATGGCGAGTCATCAGTGCAGTGATCGTCCGTGAATCTTGAGAGAAAAAAAAGGCCAAAGAGCGGCAGGCAGGCAGGACTGAAAGCTACACACAGATGTATGAGCATGGAATCAATCTGCGAGCAACAGAGGTTGGTTTTGTTTTTCTGTTAGTCTTGTTCCCTCTCTCTTTTTGCAAGCCCAACACAGTCCCAGCAGATGGCTGCAAAAGTAAAAAAAAAAGTATTGTATTGTATGAGTCTGCTCAATGTGACTGCCTGTTAAGTTTTCCCTCGCTACTGTTACTTTGAGCATACAGCTGTTTGTTAAATGTCTGTTTAGCTCTGCCGTAGGGCCCTCTGTTTTTTATATATTTTGTTCAGCTTTTCTTACCAGGAATTCTGTTCTTTCATGCATAAAAATAAACCAAACATGCACATAGGTAAACGCCCATGTTAAACCACCACAGACCCTACTTTCTTCTCTCTTAAAACAGAACCCACAGGAGCAGTCTTAGTTTTGGTAGCTGTTTTAGTCTTTAGTCTATATTAAAACCCTTACAAAGAACATATTGCTGCACTACATACCATTTTAGCCCAGAAGCGCCACAGGTAATGTTAGTTGTTAATGCAGATTACTGCACCAGCTTGTGCTCTATCTGTTTCTCTGCTCCAGCCATGCACCCTCCTTCTGCTCTCTTCCTGTCAGCGCGCCCACACCTCTCTTGTCTCCTGCTTGTATTTTGATGGACAAAAAGATGAACAGTGGGGGGAAATATCATGGATTTTGAATGTCCGACAGGACACCACAGACATTCTAGTCAACGTCTCGTCTTTGTCATGAAGAAAAACAGTATTTGAAGAGCATTTATTGTCAAATTGTTGTTAACAAAATTAACAAGGCACAGTGTGGAATTGAAAGCACACTGTGGATCAGTTGTAGAGGGGGTAGGCTCTCAACTGGAGGGTCAGGGGTTTGATCCCCAACTTCTGCAGCCACATTGTCAAAGTGTTCTGCAGGACACTTAACCACAAATTGCTCCTGCTGCTTTGTGATTGTGTGAATGTCTAAGAATAGAATAATACTGTTGGCTGGTTGGGCAATTTATGTAGCAGCCCCTGCCAGTGTATTAACTAGGTGTAAATGTGACAACCAATGTAAAAAGTGCTATGATTTCTATCTAGTTAGCTGTCTATGCATGTATCTTGGTCTTTGTAAGTAAAGCTACCTGCATGGGTTTGTGGGAGAAACGGTTTTGTAGGGGGGTAAGGGTGTGTGTTAGTTTGTTAAAAAAATATCTTTAAGTTTGACCTTTGACGTTTCATTAACAGGACATTTTATTCAGAGCTACCGTTACATTTCCTGTCTGTGTCAGATGCTCTCTCTCTCTCTCACACACACACGCACACACACACACACACACACACACACACACACACACACACACACACACACACACACACACACACACACACAGTTCTAGTTTGGCTCAGTTGTGTCCATCCAGCAGGACATACAAGCCCACACAGTTGATCAGCGTCCAAAGAGAGGAAGAAGAGATAAACGGGAAACAATGTGCAGCTATCATCCTCAGTCTCTGGGTAAATCAAGCCTGGTCTGCACAGCCAGTATCACTGTGAGCAGCTGTGCTTGGTGAACTGATACCCCCACTGGATCTTGTGTACCCTCTTTGTAGTGTGGGGGACTTTGAAAACTGACTGTAGGTGAAATGAATCCATCCATTCACATATATTCACATATATGTATTTGTTTATTGTGCCCCCTGTTTACTTAAAGTATTCCCGTATTGAGTATTCTTTTGTTTCGATGATAGATCGCCACAGATTGGTTAGCAATAGTTATAAGCAATCATGTTTATCTAGCTTTTGATAAATCCTTACCCCCCCCCCATCGCAAAACTCAACCTCTGTAGAAGTTGAACTCCCAGCTCCTTTCAGATACAGCCTTCTGCGATTTTATTTTCTCCTGGATTCATACATTTCTTCTCATTAACAGTACTGATTACATTTCTGATATCTGATATGAGAGTCACTAAAAGCATACCTTAGGGTATAACTCATTTCATATTCTGCCAACTTAACCAAGCAGCACAAAGCTGAAAAAAGCAGACTCATTGACTCTTTCCTCGGCCTGGATCCCAAATATGCCTCAAACCCCTGAGCTGTAATGTACTGTACAAGGAACACTTGAGCCTGCAAGCTGAAATTCACCTGCTCTTAGCCAAACAAGAAGCGTACTGTGTATGCATTCACAGTTCCGTGGGCTGCGGACATATTATAAAAACAATAACAAAAGACAAGTCGTCTGCTTGGCAACAATTAAAATGTCATGCTGCATCGTCTGATTCCACAAATCAGAGAGTCCTTTGGTAACCTGTTATCTGAAACCACTAATGTAAATACAACATTTAGGTCTTTCTATTCTATCCTTTCCTGCCAACAACTACTACGACTACTATGGATCAATTGTTTTAATAATTTGACAACACACTCAATTAAACCTGAAACTGAAGTTTATTTGGACTCATCAAAGCCCAGGCCTGGATGGCTACTCGTTTGAATTTTTCAAAAAACATTGTGACAAACTGGCCCCACTGTTTGGGCATGTACAATGAATCTACTGAACATGGTGCACTACCACCTATTCTCAATCAAGCTTCAATCTCTCTCTTACTTAACAAGGAAAAGGGACTCCACTGCTTAATGTAGATGTCAAAAAGCTAGCAAAGGTGTCGACAGGGCACCTAGAGAAGATCCTTCCAAATATTGTTTCAGTGGAACAGACAAGGTTTATAAGAGGTCAATATTTTTTCTTGAAAATAAGTACTCTTATGAATATATCTACTTGGGTCAAAACTCAAACATTCTCAAGCTGTGGTATCTTTAGAGCCAAAATGGATATATATATCTATATCTATATATATATAGATATAGATATAGCCGTTTGCTGTTCTTAAAGAAATTGGCATGTTTATGCACTAATAGAGCTCTATCTGATTAGTTTTGTTTTGTCAAGCAGGACTAATTTGGATTGTCCTTTAAGGCCCCTTTTATTTGCTTTATTAATATTGTCTCTTTCAATAGTATTGTGTTCCTCACCTTTTTTGCATGGAATTTGCAGAGATGGCATAGAGCATTGACTATTGCTATATGCAGACGACTTGCTTCTGTTTATTACAAACCCTTCTATTCCTATTTTTATTTAAATTCTACTTGGCTCTTTCCCTCGCTAAAAGCTCAATTAACAGAAAAGCAAATTTTTTCCCCATTGATCAAAGTATTTCATAGCTACAGCAGTCCAACATCCCATTTCACCTTTGCAAGTCAGGGTTCATCTTGGGGTCAACATAACACGGAGAGAAACTCTCATTGAAGAAAACCTGCTCCCGACCAGGTTATGTTCACAGACTCATCTACCATAGCAACTGACTCAGAGACAAAGTTATCTCTCTTTCTAGACCGGGCTCAAGTTTCCTCATTTTCTCTGGTTTAAGTGACCTCCCTTTCTGAAATGGAAAATCCAGGGTTTCTCTCAATTCAGGGTTAACTGACTCAATGTTTACACTAACCCTGCTCTCTGAAACGGGCCTCAGGGTACACAGCATAGCTTTTTCCCCTTGTTGTGACATACATCTTTGTAGCTCTGCTTTGAATTTTAATATATGATGCAGAGAATTAATTAATCTTGAACCTCCTTTTTCTCCATAGTTTTGCTGGGTGTGCTGACGACATGTGCCCAGACAGAGATGAAGAGGGTCGTTGGAGACAACGCCACACTACCCTGCCACCATCAGTTCTGGGCGGGGGATGACCCCACTCTGGATATTGAGTGGCTGTTTCTCAAACCAACCAATAGGCAGAGGGTGGTAAGTGTTTGTCAATGTAGCAGGGGGAATGAATCAATGTAACTGATGCCACATACAGCACTTGTAATTTGCAATGTCTTCTACAAGAAAGGCCTTTAAGACACAAAAAACAGTAAATACATAAATAATCACAATTAAAATAATAACAAATCAATGTAAACATACAAAAAGCACAATATCATACATGACTTGCTTGTGAGGATATTGTTTAAGTCTCACTTTACAATGATCTCAGTCAGGATCCAGTTTGAGTTTAAATCAATCAATCAATAAAACTTTATTGGTGCATTTTTCATACAGGTATGTGCACACAAAGTGTGTTACATAAAAATTAATCAAACAACAACAACATGTATGTTAAACATAGTGTAGGAGGACTGCTAAAAATAAAGGAGTGATATTCAAAAGATGTGTACTCACCAAATAAAATGTCTTTAAAACCATGTGATGCTAAAAGAATTGTGGCTGTACCCCCAACTCTTTTACCTTTTCTAAAAGAATATGAAAAATCATAATTTGGCGGATTTGGGGGGAATCAGCAGGAGGTTTATAAAACATTAAAACAATATCAGTCAGGATCCAGTTTTAGTTTGAGTTAAATAAAATAAGATACCGTGATACAGTTTGAAGTGATTCCAGTCAAGATCCAGTTTCAGTTAAAAATTATCACAGTCGAATTCCGGTTTGGGCAAGATGGAGTAGACACGTGTAGAGTCTCTCTCCCGCAAATATTCACATTTCCACCTTGCAATACTTCATAAGTTAGACTGAACCGACGAACGAGTGATTATATTGCACCTGAGTTGCAAACCGAGAAGAAATGACAACGTATTCAACTAGACAGAGTGCAAAAGACCAGGGGGAGCCTTACTCCTCTGTCGGGGCTGACAGTGAGTTTGGGGTGGCAGAAGCTCAGTCCGTAGGGACTTGGGTTGGGAACCAGAGGGTCGCCGGTTCAAGTCGTCGTGTGGACAACAATATGGGAGTTGGTCTGGGAGCAGTTAAAACAACTCCTTGAAGATCGTGAAGCCAAGGCGACCTCCAATATGGCTCACAAGCAGGCCACAGCAAGGGAAGCAGTCAGGGAAAACGGGAAACTTAAGGATGCTCTCCAAACTGAAAAGGAGAAGCGTATGAAGACAGAAGAGTGCCTCACCCAGCAAATAGAGGAGAACTCCAGACTGAAGGTCAGTGTATCCAGGGCTGTCATGGACTTGCAGTACCAGGCTCGCCTGTGGGGACAGGACAGGACCATTCTCCTGGGGGAAATCAACAGATTGCGTGCTGTATTATACCAGGCGCAAAAGTGGGCAAAAGACAGGTCTGACCTCCTTGCTGAAGCCTTTTCCATCAAGGCTGCACCCAACCAGCCCCCAGAAGACCTGGAAATCAAAAGCAGCCAGTTGGAAGATGAAAAGTCCCGTCTCCTTGCTGAGGTGACGAATGAAACCTGCAATCTTACAGCCCTACTCAACGAGGCCCATGAAGACCTGGTGAAAAAGTGCAATCAATGGGAGGAGGAACGATCCAGTCTTCTGTTTGAGAAAGAGGAGGAAACCTGCAGGATAAAAGCTGCTCTGGTCCAGGACCAGGAGGACCTGAAGCAGCACAAGCTGCAGTGGGACGAGGAAAGATCCTGTTTACTAGAAGACCAAAAACAGACAACCTGCATGATAAAGGCTGCTCTGGTCCAGGCCCAGGAGGACCTGAAGCTGCAGTGGGACGAGGAAAGATCCTGTCTCCTAGAAGAACAAGAACAGGCAACCTGCCGGACAAAGGCTGCTCTGGTCAAGGCCCAGGAGGACCTGAAGCAGCAGAAGCTGCAGTGGGGCGTGGAAAGATCCCATCTACTAGAAGACCAAAAACAGACTACCTGCAGGATGGAGGAGAAACTGAAAGAGGCCCAAAAAGACTGGCATTGTCATTGGGAGGAGGACAAGTCACAGCTCACTGAAGGGTTTCTCGTTGAAGAAACCCTCAGGATAAAGGCATCCCTAAACCAGGCACAAGAGGAAATAGAAATTCATCAGCTGCAGTGGCAGAAAGAGAAAGAGAAAGACTGTCTCCTGGAGTCTATGAACATCATGAAGCAGACCCTTGAGGAGAAGGATGAAGACAAAGGCAAATCAACAGAAGGCCTAATGGAAAGACTAGAGAACCTTGAAGTTCAGGTGGAGGAGGCTCAGAAAAAGAAGAAAAAGTCTTTAAAGAAAACATTTCTGGGGGGAGGATCCAAAAGGGGCCTAACCTTTTTTTCTTCTTTCCCTTCCTTGACCTGTTCACGTTAGATTTTTTGTGTTTTTTGTGGGGAGAAGGAAGAGGGGCTTAACCTTTTTCCTTCTTCCCCCTGCCCTAAACCTACTGTTCCCCTTTGTTACATCATGTCATGTCTTCTTTCTGTTGTTAAATGTACGTAAAGCAAAAAATAAAATTTGATTGGCTTCAAACTTCAAGTGCATCCTATGTTTACTCGCTTCAAAATCATTTTGTAAATATGTAAATATAACCTACTGCTGCATTCCTGGTTAATAGATATGAAGCTAATATCGTACTTACATTGCTAGCTATGATTATTGTTAGCTAGGAGTATACCCATTTAACATTGTATCTTCCCAGCAAGCATTGGAAGACATTTAAGTGACGTCTTTGGGAAGACATTGAGTAAACGTTTATTTTCAAACAGATTTTAAGAGGAAATCTGCTTCTGTCACAAGAATCATCACAAAGATCTCATATTTATAGTGCCTAAAATTACTGTATAAGTTTATAACAGTAATCTACGCTGGAGTAGACCTGGTTAAGTACTCATAACTCCCTGCAGTCAAGTCTAATGCTTCCCACCATCAGCCACTACCACGTCAGTACAACTCCAGTCCTGTCAGGTGTAAAATTACATTGTCAGCATCCGAAAAATGAAATGCGTTGAACTGACACCTTTGCATGGACGGGATTTAATCCACTGCTGCAAAATGACTTTGGTCGTTAAACGTTCCAAACTCCTCAAAATATAATGGATGGCTTGATGTATTTTCTATTCTGTGTTGATGATTCCAATTAGGTAACACTTTATATTAAGATGCTTGTAATAAGAATAAATAATAGGTAATAAGTCACTTATAAGACCTGATTAGATTCTTATTAACACAAATAAGTCTGTATAACTGTTAATAGAGGCATACTTAACACATTTATTATGTCTTATAAGACACTTATAGGCTCTTATTAGAAACTTATTAACAGTTTATATACCCTCATAAACAGCAATATCATTCCGGCTGCAGTATGAGATTAAAGTTATCCCAGGAAAGGATCCAATTCGAGTTTATAACAGTTTAATCAATCAATAAATCTTACATTGCGTCAATTCATGACACATTTTATCTCAAAACACTACAAAAAGAGTAGGTCTAGACTGTATTCTTTGTTATACAAACAACAATTCCCAAAATGTTGGGAGGTTGTTTCAAATGTGAATAAAAACAGAATAAGAGGGGCGCTGGTGGGGCAGTGGTTGGTGCACACCCCATGTACAGAGGCAGTAGTCCTCCAAGCAGGCAGCCCGGGTTCGAATCCAACCTGTGGCTGCTTTCCCACATGCAATTCCCCACTCTCTCTCACCCTGCTTTCCGAATCTATCCACTGTCCTTTCTGTCCAATAAAAGCCCAAAAGCCCAAAAATAAATCTTAAAAAAAAGAAAGTGTGGTGTGTCGATGTGGTTGATGAGAGATGATTTCTAATTTTTAGTGACTACACACTGTGGTGTATCCAGCAGGTTAAAAAGGCGGCATCAAAAGCTATGGTTTATCCTTCAATTCTATGACATCTGCACCATGCAGCATAAATGCAATATTATACTCAATATACAAACCTGGACCTAAACCAGAACAAGAGACTGCTGTGCCAATAACGGAGATTTTATGAAATACATAAATAAAATACTTTTCTTCATTCAAATAGTTTTGGCAGGAAGTGGTAAGTGATCTGAATGCAGGTCATTATGAAGAATCGAAAAGGAATAACCAAAGAGCCAGTGTGGGGCTGTCATGAAGAGAGTTGTGTAAAGAGAGAAGAAACTGTCTTCCCATCCTCATCACAAATTGTTTTCACCCTGTTTCACCTCTCCCATCAGGTGATCACCTACTTTGCTGGGCGGGTTTTTGACCCAAATGAAGCGGAGCGTGGTCGTGTCGCCTTTGCTGGAGAGTACTTAAAAGGGGATGCGTCCTTGCTGATCAGTGACTTGTCTTTGACTGACTCAGGAGAGTACAGCTGCAAAGTTAAGAATGGTGCACAATACCACTGGAGCACCATCAGCCTCATTGTCCTGGGTAAGTGGCACAAATGGTGCTTTCACACTTGCACGAAACTCCTGAACCGCTGCTACCATCATGCATCTTCTCCGCTATATATCCGTCAATATTTGGAACTTGTTAACGTGTCAAACTTCTCATTATAGCGATTTCGAGTTGATCTTTGTCCATTGTGTGTATGTGTGTGATAATTCTCTCAACAGTTAAGCCGTCCAAGCCGCGATGTTGGATGGAGGGGAAACTGTTGGAGGGCGGCGATGTTAGGATGAGCTGCAAGTCTGCTGATGGCTCTGACCCCGTCCTCTATAAATGGGAGAGGCTCATGGACAAGGGCAAGTATGTTGGCAAGCTGCCTCCACTGGCACTCTTAGGTGAGTCTTTTCACACTCTGCGTCTTAAAAACCATGACTTTAACTCATGTATCAACTTGATACAAATACAATTCTACATAAAAAAACAAAGGACAGCTGTCTGTTTCACCTCATCAGCTCTGTTAGCAGAAAGCTCAGGGTTGTCATTCTGCTGAAGGTGGACTCAGATACACTTCAACAAATACCGGACTGTGTGCTTGAATAAATGCTCTGACATTATTATTGCTTGTTTGACTCTGAGAAAAACAGATTGTTGATGCTGATAGGATTTTTTGTAACACAGTGTTCTCACTGAACCAGTGTTCTTTATTTCAAGCACTGCTGACTCAGACTTAGACTCAGACTGGAGCTTTTTACGGCATTCAGACCCGGAAGAACTTTTGTCATTGATAAAGCCTGTGTAATTGTTTTTGTAAGTTTTTTATGAGGCCCAAATTTGTAATTCAGCTTCCAGTGAAGGCTGACACATGCTAACGGGCTAATGGGCCCGTTCACTGCACACATGGAAACATAAATAATTACTGATAACACATTTTGTAATCATTTAAAGTAAGCATTTGAAGAAGAAATTTATACATTGACACAAATAAATCACCTGGTAAGCTTGTACTGAATATGTAATGTGAATGTAATGATACTGAAACTGAAGCCCATCTTGGAACTTGGCTTGGACTCAACCTTGACGACTCAGACTTGGACTTCAACTCAACTCAGATTCAGTCAATGGGGCCTCAACTCAGCCTCAACTCGGATTATTCTTTGGTGACTCTGACTCAATTCGGTCTTGATTATTGGGGACTTGAGACTTGACTCAGACTCAAGGTTTGGCAACTCTGGGCTGAACACCTTATTTTACGTATACAATCTTAAACTCTGTCAAAAAAGTCTGTTTTAAACTTAAAGTAAAGCTTGGACACCTCTAAAACGTGTGAAGCTCTGAGCAACTGATGTGTTTTTTCTGTTATCCCCTATTTCTAATATTGAACTCAAATCGAATCACATCTATTTGGAACCTCACTTAAAGACCAGATTTCAGTTTCATATCCCGTTTTCTCTTCGCTTGTACTCTCAGATCTTAAGAACCCGGAGATTGTAACGTTGAGGAATTTGACCAAAGACAGCACAGGAGTCTATAAGTGCACAGCCAGCAATGATGTTGGCGAGGAGAGCTGCACGCTGGAGGTCAAGATGCACTGTGAGTGGAAAACTTTGACTAATCAATGAAACTTATTTTGTTCCAACTTCTTGCTAACACCAGTATCTCACCAAAAAATGACTTTCACACAAGCAGCCTAAGTCCTACAGTGAAACAATCACTGCTAACTTCATTTACTTTGCAGCCTCAGTCGTTTCATCTGTATTCCTTGAACTAACCACTAGTTGGAATGACTAGAGTTAGACTGACTACGTGATTGCAAGATAACATGATTATAAGACCTTTTTTGATTTTTTTCATTTCAGAATTGGTTATCTTCAAAGGGTTTTATGTTGCCAAATGTAGAATAGAAACACTAAATGTGTGTTATGAAGAATAAATAAGTTAATGATTTACATTACCATCATTTCTATGGCCAAACAATTAATCCACAACTATGAAGACCATAAATATGAAGACCACAACACTGAACTCTAAGAAAACACTGAAATGTGTTAAGCTAATTTCTGACAAGAATTCTGACTGTTGATGATCTGATGAAGTTTTATCTGGTGTATAATTCCCAGACATCAAAAACGATCTGTGCCTTCCCAAATTAAAAGAGACGCTATGAAAATAACACAATTGGCACAGCAGTGTAACTTCAGTGATAAAGAACAACCTGCAGGTTGAAGACCCATGTGAGTCAATTTGTCAGAAGAAAATATGATTTAATTTAGCATTTTTTAATTTTTCTTTATTTCTATTTTGTATTCAATTTGTAAATTTGATATTTAGTTGGATTGTTTTCTCTGATGAAACCAACGCTGAATGAATGTTTGCACATTTTGCTTTTTTTTTCTAAGCGTTTTTAAATACCAAAAAATATCCAAAATGACACAAAATGAAGTTGGATAATACGATGTATGTTTTTATTTATTCACCAAAACTGGTTTCAGGCACGGCATTTATTGTATGACAATAATTGAAATTTTCTTAATGTTTGCAATCCCTTTTTATGGTTTTATTAATGATCCTGTAGTTACCTTTAGCTTAAAAGTTGTTAGGTCTCTTGTCTTGTCTGAACTTCTTTGATGTACAACCATACCACCACAACATTGTAATGTAGCATTTATTGGTACACAAATGATACCCTATTTTAAGCGATCATTAATTATAATTATTTTATCTTAGACTATCATTGTGAAACAGATACAATATTTTTCTTTGTGTGTGTGTGTGTGTGTGTGTGTGTGTGTGTGTGTGTGTGTGTGTGTGTGTGTGTGTGTGTGTGTGTGTGTGTGTGTGTAGATGTCAGGGGAATGGGTGTGGTTGCAGGAGCAGTTGTTGGTGTCTCCTTTGGAGTCCTCCTCATAATCCTAATCATCTGGTTGGTGTTCCGCAAAAAGGAAATGAAGAAATATGAAGAGGAGGAGACCCCAAATGAAATCAGGTACATGATGAGAAATGTTCTCTGCTATCCTTGACCAGACTTGGGATCAGGACCTCAGTCCAAACTCTTACTTATGATTACATAGAACACACTTATTTGCTTTGTTTGACCTAAGTAACTTGATATGAATAAAGCAACAAACAACAACTGCAATGAATAAGATAGACTTATATCTGCAATGTAAGTTTTGCAGATGACAGCCAAGTGGGGGTTCCCAGTCTCTGGCAACCTTATTTTGGGGGTTCATGAGCTGCAAAGTTAAAGAACCCCTGCCCGAAATGACTGCTTAATGTTCTGCTACTACTTCTGTCACAGTCACTGACAGTGCAGGATGCTGGGGGTTAGACCCCATCACTAATGAAGCCAAGTTAAGCAAAGTTATGAATACTAACCTTGAGATTTTGAATGTAGCTGCAGTGTCTTCTATGCTGTTTTAGAAAAGAGTGATTTGATTAAACTTCAGTTCTCTCTGAAATTAACCACATGTTCCTTTCAGGGAGGATGCTGAGGCTCCTAAAGCCAAACTGATGAAGCCCAATTCCCTCTCCTCATCCCGCTCAGGCAGCTCTCGCTCAGGCACCTCCTCCACCCAGTCCATGGTGCACAACATGGGGCCCCGGGGCACAAGACCATGTATCCCTGCTGTGGCCACCCTCAAGGAAAACTGCCAAGCCTCCACCTTCCCTCAGACTCCACCTGCCTACCATCAGACTGTTCCCAAGACTCCTGAACCCCGTTGCACACCCACCCCCACAGCTACTTCCAACTCCAAGCCCAGCACTCCACCTAAACTGGGTCCTGGGAACCTGACCCGTATGGGGGCTACTCCTGTCATGATCCCAGCCCAAACCAAGGCCTTCCAGACTGTGTAGATAAGAAGGAATCATCCAGAAGACAAGGCAGCCTCAGGAAAGTGCCACCAGTTTAAGATCCAGTTATATAATGGAAATTCATTCTCACCGTACACAGGCTGATGGAGACCTACAGCAGTTTATGCTAAGTTTACAGGAGCAAACTTCCTCTGCTGTTATATATCGACACACTGTCTCCTGAGCAACATCTGGACCAAGGTGGTGTTTTATGGGAATCAGTGTCGACTAAAGGGAAGCAGAGATGACTGTGTGAAGCAGGTAGTGGGTGGAGCAGATGAAGTGGACGGAGTGAGAGGTTAGAGAAGTTCTTTAGGTAAAAAGACGTATAGCGCACGTCAACAACAGTATGTTTTTAACAACCTTAGACACTTTCTTCATACACATTAAACACCCTGCACCTGAACTGCTGACTGGACTTACACTGTACCATGTTGGAGTACATAAAAGGATGAATGCCTCTGATTGTATAAACAGACTTCTCACACCCATACACACCTCTTTCACACTGTTACATGTATCTCTGCTTCCTCCGTGCCCACGTGTGCTCATATGTAGACGAGCCGACTTTTTTTTCTTCAGTAGTTGACTGGATTCATTCAGCAAATGTTAATTCTGTCCACACCCGAGGAGTCCTGGCTTGGAGAGAAGTCAGAGCATGACAGACATTTTTGGATATTTGAATTGCCAGTTGAGGAGTGCTGATCATTTTGTAGATTGTTACAGGGTTTAGATGAGACCCTACTGAGAAAGTGCCACATCATGACGGTTTACATTGGTTTAGTTTCTTTTTGTCTTCTTATTATTCAGTCCACCACTCAAGTAAAGAGAAACTGTATGAATGTGATGCTAAACCATGTGATTTTCTTTTCCTCAGCAGTTTGATATGACTGAATTATTTGTCAACACTTCAGAACTTAAGTAATGTTCCCTTCGACTTTCTCTGGTCACATGCATGCCACACATACCTGCATGTGTGATAATCACACAAGTACATTGCTATTAAATCTGAATCAATTCTCCTTCACAGAGAGCATTACATTTACAGTATGTCTTTGATGCTCTGAGGGGATGAAGTCTACACCAGCAACGGCCATCTGACAGAGATGCTTTTGCTCTACCAGCACTTCATATACAACAGCTTCATGTGGTCCTACATGTTATAACTTGATGACCTAGGTTCTCCTGTAGTGTCAGATATTCACCTGCAGGGCTCCAATTAGCAATTATAGTAACCAATTGAGTTAGTAATTATACATATGCAACGTCCTGCTATATTCTACAAATGAAGAAATCTGGTGGACAATAATAATAAAGAAACTTCAAGGTACCTTTCAAAACAATGCTGTCAAGATAGTGATACCAAAATAGTAACTCCCACTTTGGCCGGGAATACACTGTATGATTGTAAAAACGTTGTGGTGGAATGTCGTCTCACACTGTTCGAGCCGATCGTTTACAACACACAGCCAAAGCTCTCGATTTATTTCTTCACACTGGACAGTCAGATTGTCAACCATGACCTGAGCTCACACTGAACGTGTAAAATTAGGGCAGAGCATTTATTGTAAATAAAGTTTTATTTGAAAACTCCCACAGACAGGAGTTGAAGCCAGATCGATGTGTATTTTAGTTGTGTCATATGCGCGACTCAAATATAGACACCGCCAAAAACATTCTCACTGTCTCTCACACACTCAGCGTTAAACACAAGCTAGCTAGCGAGCTAAATCATAGCAAATATTCCCTGGCAGCTGGAGGTCCGCATCCTGTTAAAATCAACATTTCTCTTGTTTATATCTTTAGTGATAGAAGGGGGAAGATGCATCAAACGGGCATGTCTGCTGTTGCCATGGAACTTTTAGATGCTGTCTGCCATTTTGCAGAGGAGCAATCCGGAAAAAAGCCCCTGAAGTACGGCTATTGGATTCTGCTCTCGCACTGTGTGTGTATTAAGCAGCAACCTCTGGTGAAAAATGAAGCCAATGCAAAAGTCCAAAAAAACTGCAATTGCTCAAACTTCCACTTAAGGTTGACTGCAAAAATCCCAGAAGTCATATACCCATTCTAAAATGCCAATTTTACAGTAGAAACAAACATGATAACAGCCTGGTACAAACGACGATAGTGCATTTATTTTTTGTCACACACTGAAGATGAGGCAAAACAGCTGATCTAACTGCAAGCGGGCACGTTGTTGTTGTTTGTAAGCAGGGTTAAGGCCTGCCTCAGCTGTATCTCTTTGCCTGTTATTAGGTTGACTGAACGTTATGTTGAGATAGTATTTTCAACATGGCCAAATAATTCCCCTTCAGTAACCAATGGTTGATGTCACTGAGACTACATCCATGTTTTATATTACCTATGGAGTGTTTGCAGTCATACAACTATCATTTCAAACATGCCAGAAATTCATCCGACTGGTCGACGGGCATCTGATCTAACTGTAACCGGCACTCATACCCCTCTGTACACTGCACACAGTCCAACTTCAAAATCAGTGGTATGAAACTTTGGGCCGAAATGTCGGTGAATTTATCATACAGTGTATGCCCGGCTTCAGAGTTTAAAAACAAAGTAATCTAGACTACAATAAGAAACAAGAAATATTAATCAAGAATGTTATATAAATAACTTGGAAGTGGACTTATTGAAGTCAACAATGACTGATTGTGTTATGTCAGTGTTGAACTCCAAGGTCCTGGATGTCAGTTCTGTGTTTGAAAAATCTATCAGCCCTGACCAAAACCCTCAGTGGGCGTTCCCACGCTTCACACTACATTGCCTGACGTTCTTTCTTGATCTAATCAAGAAAATAAGCAACAAGATAGAAGCTAGAAATAATGTAGTCACACAAAATGAAGTCATATTTTGTGCAGTGTTTATTTGAAATGGACGTGTCATAATATTTGTCTGTCTGCTTAACTTCATTTGAACTTCAGTTGTGACCCGACTCTTTTGAAATCAGGTTTTCTTTTTCCCACAAAACGTTCTGCATTTCTTTATTCAAGATGAAAGCTTTTTTCTGTCTCCCTGTTGCAATCCTGCTCATTGAATTATTCTATTTTGTATGTCACCCTGACGTGTTTACTTACAGGGATATGCTTTTTCAGACACTCCTGATGAACAGAGCGCACTCTCACATTACCATGCCGTCATTTTCTTGATTACAAACCACAAACATGTCGCAAAGTTCACCTCAGATTCTAAACTCTAGATTCATTTATAAGAAGAACATAACAGCCAAACAGCTGCTTTTGGTTGGCCAGCATTTCAGGGGTCAGAAGAAGGATGGCTTTGAATTTCTCTCTTTTTCATTCTTGAAAAAAACAAATTGCCAAGATAAGAAAACACCTGACTAAAACAACCTCTGATTTCCCTACAATATCCTGTTATAATGAAAGCCATCAGACATCCAACTGAAGAGATGTCAATGTCTTATGGTGCACACATGCAAAACTTCTGAAAACTTATTCAAGCAATATTTCCTGCCAGCCCTCTAATACATTTTCTGCATGAAGTCGGAGAGCTAAATGCCACGTAAATATTGCGGCAAATTCACTTCAAGCAAACAGAAGGGGCTTGATGACATTTTTATCCCGTGACCAGCGCCCAGCCATAGACTGTATGCACGCTTCCGGTGTGATCTCTGTGCACATAATGAAACTGTTCATTATGGTTTCTGTTCAGTATGTTCCATGCTCTTCAGTTGATACTGTTAAAATGTCAAACTTAAAAAGTTGTCATTATATTGTCAAGCTGTTTGCTTTTTCTGGCCCCTCTGCTTCATTCTTTTGACACCATGTACCGCCTCTCGAGGCCGCCATCCGACAGGGATAGCCTGCTGTGAGGTGCAAGTATGAACAAGCAGGCCAGGATGATTTCAGGAGCAGCCTGTCTGAATTTTTCTTAAAATTTTTAAGGAGTGCATCTGTGAATATGGCTTTATTCAGAAATATTTCACTATTCCACTGTAGATTGTTGGTATAAAACATGTCCAGACAACCATCACTGAGCCAGTTTTACTGTTTGCCCTTTCTTCTAGCTAACAAGGCAAATATCTTGATTCATGTCCATACTATCTCCAAACACCATCATCACAATGACGGTGCAGCCTGAGGCTCAACCTGCACTCAGAACAAGGTTTAAAGACATCCATAGACTCATATCCCCAATAAAGGCTGAGTATTGATGATTGCATGCATGTTACAGATATTAAACCATAGGAAGGATTTTGTCCATAATTGCCTCAAAAGTTATATTATAAAGATATGATATTTATATAAATAAAATGTAAAGGTCTTATAAGTCAGACAGTTAAGTCAAATGTATGATAATTTGGTTTCATTTTGATTTCTTAATGGTATGCTTTTAAAACAAAGTACTTTGTACTCTCTGTCTCTTCTTTTTGTAAATATAAGCTTTTCTTCACTTAAAAAGTATGGCAACAACATGGTGCCAAAATGAACTGTTTTTTTATTTTTCATGATTTTGTGTCAGACTTTAATTTTGAAGGGAGTTGTGTATAGCCCTCTGCTTGAGTTAAAGAAATGTATATTTTACAGAATATCAAAAACATGTTTTTATTTCTTTGTTCATTTTTAAAAATATAATGTTGAATGGAGAAACAGAAAGCTCCTGTGATTATTCCTCATACAAGCTCACTGAGTCTTTGCCTTAAAGTCTGGTACACACCAAACAGACAACCAAGGACAAGCTGCAAACCAACTGCTGAGTCATGTTCTGTCCGTTGCTGCCGGGCCAAAAAGTTGCACTGTTCACACTTAACTGATAGCAGTCTAGTGCCAATTAGTTTGTGCATCCATGTTTTATTATGTGAGGCAATACCACTCCATGCCAGCAGGCAGCGGCAGTCTGATATTTTTCATACTACGTGGAAAACCAACGTTTTTACACTCCTTTAAAGAGGACATATTACCCCTCTTTTCCACCTTTTCAAACAGTCCCCTGTGGTCTAAATGAAACATCTGCTGTGCTTTGTTCAAAATATAATGTGAATCAAGCACCAGAGAAGGTTTGTGACCCTGTATAAACCAGCTCTCTCAGAACGCTCTGTTTTGGATGAGCCTGTAGTATATGATGTGCCAAGATTTTCAAATCTTGTAGTGTGAGCACGTTTGAGATTCTGGAGAAGACTATCTGTTAGGATTCTCCGAAAGTGTGTGATGCTGCCCGAATTCAAAATGGGGAAGGATTGTAAAACTCCTGCAGGGCTGGGAATCTATGGGTGTCTCATGATTTGTCCCAGTTTCAATTCTTGAGGTCATGATTTAATTCAGAATCTATTTTCGATTCAAAATGATGCTGGATATATGGATCCATGGATTCAAAGTCTATTTTTGAATTAGTACATACTTCACTTTCTACTCCAGTTATCAATCTCGTTTTTTACATAAATCGATTTTCTCACCTCTACTCCTGCAGTGTGAGCCAGGCTTTATGGACCATTGTAAAACAGCAACTTGAGCAGTATTCCATCCAAATTCCACTTTCAAAAAACCCAACAATTTATAGTTTTAAGACAGAGATAAAATGTAGAAACAGTTTAAAGGTTAATGACAACCAAATACTCATTAAACAACCATTTAAAGTGAAGCAACTTTATCAGGTCAAGTAAATAAATGAGCAATAAGTGAACTCTCTAAAATTAAAACGTGAAATCTAATAATCAAGTGGAAGCAAGGTGACGCAGTAAAACTGACTGTAATGAAATTCTTCTCATTTTAATGATATATGCCATTCATTTATTACAAAGTCTGTAATAAATGAGATACATTTTTTTAATCGATTGACTATGGTGGCCAGTAGTTGCAGAGTCAGCAACGGCTGAAACAACGTACATTTAGAAAAATTTGCAGCATATTCAGCAACGCTGCACATTGAAAAGCAAACTCACGAAACAAATACAATGGCTGAAACCTGCTGCAAAAGAAAAAAACACTGCGAAAAGGCCAAGCCACTGCATTAACATCAAATGTGCTGCAAGAACAAAGTCAAAAACACACATATTCAGAACACAACTGCCAATATAGAAACGCTACAAGTGCTCCAGGCCTGTAGGGGCGGTCTGTGGAACCGTTTATTTGCGGGAGAGAGTGAGAGAGAACTGACAGTTTTGTTTATCTAGGAAAATTGCATCATTGATCGACACAAAACAACAAATTACAAAACAAAAGCTTCTAATGCCTTTCGTTTTAATATTTTTTTTCCTGTAGCTGCAGCCAACGTTATTCTGGACCCTTGCGGACTGATTCCAAAACACAAGCAGGCGGTGAAATGCACCCTCAATTGCGCTGCACAGCAAACAGCATATCTGTGCACCGGTGCTGGTTGCTAGTATTTAAATGTAACATTAAGCAGTCATTTCAAACACCCACAATTCATAAACACCCGCTGTTACAGTTAAGAAAAAATATCTGCTGTGACTATGTGGTGACCTCGCAACAGAAGGATATCACACGTGAACCGCCATACCCTAATCAGGTGCGACGTCATTCTGTGGGAAACACTGAACAGTACTGTTTATTGGGTTCCAAAATGCCATGGTCATTGTTCACTGTTTGTGGTCCCTTAAGTGTACGCCACTTGCTTGGCCTTTTGTGCTTTTTTATTATGTGTAGGATTATATGAGATAGTTGGTCTTGTGTGGTAGAGAGGAGGGGAACCTCAGCATATTCTGATTAAAGGCAGGGTTTGTAATTATCAAAAATTAGCATGATTTTGAAAGTAGCATTCCCTCAGTGCAACGTCTACACCCACCCCCTCCCCTCTGTGCTCCCTCAAAAGCCCCGCCCCTCACTTACGAGTACTAGCACCGTTGCTCAGGAAGTGGACCTAAGCTCATCGCTCCAGTGTGTAGAAACTACCTCGTCTGATGTCTCATTCAGTGGTAAGTAAACATTATACTTTATGATAATACATGTGTAGTACTTTTTCTTCTAATAACAACAGTTAAGACAACAGGATTATATCTGCCTCTGCTTTGTTTTGCTGCAATTCAAAATAGGAACCTTATCTGTCTACACTCTGCAAATAACTGCTTTTTTTCCATTTCATGTCTTTGTCACAGACTCCAGATAGCTTCAACACACAGCACAAATCAGTGCAAAGTGGGACTTCCATCTATTCTAACTGGTACCAAAAACAGCTGCTTTCACATGGCACTCAGCATCTCATTAATACACAGGGTAACCGTTATCCACATAAGAGACACAGCAGGCTTTCAGCTGTAATGTAAACACATCTGTGACAATACAGGGCGCTAAAGGAAACTGCTGTTATTGACATAGTAGTGTAAACGAGCTTTCTGGGTTTCTCGGACCTGATACACTTGTTAAGGAAAACAATAAAAAACACATAGACGGGGAGCTTCCACTTTATTCAACACACATGTACAGCCAGCCGGATAACAACAGCCTTGATACCCTTAGAGAGCGCAGACCTAGCTGAGCGGAGAGCAGTCATATCCCCGGCCCTGAAGGCTGCATCTCAGTCATCACAATATCTGTGGAGATAAAAGGCAATCACACATAGCAGTATTCTCTAGCCCAATCCAGGTGGCGATAATCATCTCGTAACTGTTCGCTAACGTCAGATAAACAACAAACAAAAAAGAAGAAGAAAACACAAGAAAACACGAACAGTGGCAACATGACAGCAGAGCTACAAGTTTACTACAAGCTACTACTTTATTGTCCCTGAGGGGCAATTTGGTTTGCAATAGAGGTCCATACAGTCAATACATCCTTAAAAAACAGCACAATGACATAAATGCATACATATAAGACATAAAAATAGTTGTTACTGCAGTAACAACTAATGGAGATCCAATTTGAATCAAATTAAATGAAAAATCACAAAGATGATACATCGCTCCCGAATGCACAAATTGTATTTTGTTGTATAGGCCATTAACCAGATCAAATCAGGTGTTGTTATGTTATTTATTTCATAGAAATATGTATTCATTTCTATGTTGCTCTTTATTTTGCTTCATTTTTGTTTGTTTAACGTTTAATAACTGCAGGCTTTACCTACTATCAAGTCTATCACTATAAGCTCTCACTAGAAACTTGTGTTCCAGACCAGGGTTTCCCAAACTTTTCAGCCTGCAACACCCAGTATATTGGCGTTAGAGACTGGGGACCCCCATTGTCCCTAGAGGTGGTTTAAACATTTCTCGTTGCCCACACTATTAGGTATATCCAAACACTGGCATTAAAACACAACAGTCTAAACACTGTAATATTATTTTTGTAATTTATGTTAAGAAACTCTTGAAGCAGAACACAAATAACCTTTTGAACTACGTTTTTGTATATATTTTCACAATAAGGGGTCAAATTATTTTTATATATTTTTTTAAAGGAATCTGGCGACCTCCGTCTCAGTGTCTCGCGACCCCCGAGGGGGTCCCACCCCCCACTTTGGGAACCACTTATCAACAATTTGTTAATATTAATGCCTTATAAAGATTTATCACTTTCGTGTTTTTAGATGGTTTTAATTTGAGTAAGTTGGTTTTAAACACAGGTCTCCCCCTGGGCTGTGTTTTATCTCCTATTCTCTTCTCGGTTTACACTAACATCTCCTGTAACAGTGAAGGAATTGCACTTTTAAGTATACAGATGACGTGGCCCTGGTGGCTCACCTGACTGACACCACTGCCCTGAACCCATACCAGAAGGCAGTGAGGAAGTGAGGCAGATGAGGAAACTATAAGACTTTTCATGTCAGCAAACATATTTTAATTCTGGTTAATCGATCTCTTATTCAATCCATCATGTCTTTTAATCCTGGTTCAACTCCCTCATTGCCAAACACAAAACAAAACTGTACCGCATAGTTAATGTCCAGTGATAATTGTTTTTGATGCTGCATGAAGACAACACAGACAGGAAACAGGTTAAAATAAGTATTTAGGCAGATCATGAAACAAGACTAACAGCTCAATATCAGGAAATTGTCCTTCCTGTTTAGGACAGAAAATACACACATCAACTGTCTTTAATGAAATTGTACACGTATTTACGGGTGTTATAGAATTACGGGTGTTATTTAACGGTTGAATAGAATTAGCAGTCTTGGCAGTGTATAAAAGCTGCAAACCAACACTCAGCTCAGCACTGGGTCATGACACTGTCTGACTGCATGACTTTCAGTGAACCAGCTGACTGACAGAAATAAAAAGGACCAAAAAGATCTAAAGTTGGAGAATAGACTTTTTGACAGGTCTGTGCCTGATCCAGCAGACATATCACTGACAAATACTTCCAAGCATTTTACATTTAAATCACTTGAGTTTAAATACCATTTACTCTTTGTTTCCTGCAATAGCAACTTTCGACCACTTGAGAGCAGCATTAGCTCCACAATTAATAGTTACATTTGAGTGTGATTCCAAACAAGCAGAAGGCAGAACTATCAGAAGCACAAGTTATAGAAGCTTTGAGAACAGAGCTGCACCCTGCATACACCTACAGCTGAATAACAGCCACCTCAGACAGGGAAAACACTTTTTCTCCTGCAGTGAATAACATAGAACTTCACATGTGGAAGACTTGAACATATCTGGTTTGGGCTCTCTTTCAATAT